TGGAAATATCTGTTTCTTGTAATTTGGCCTGAAATGTATTTGCAATTTCTTCACAAAATATCTCTGTATTGATTCAGTGTCCTCACATTGCAGAATAACTTGCTAGATGAATATTTTCAAATTTTTAGACATTTGACACAGAAACCATATTAAATGTGCATGTTGAAAAAAAAGAATGCAGAAAACGCATGATGCCCAACATTAAATGAAAATTCCTTCTGCATTTTTCTAATCATAATTGAAACCTTCCTCTCAAACTATAGGCAGAGTTTTTTATATGCAGTAATATTGAGCGAGCGTTTTGATCATCACATTTCTTCCATATGGCCTAATCTCAAAATCAAAATGCATTCAGTCTTTTTTATATCATGAATTATAAATTATTTTGCGATATTTTAAAATTCCAGACCGATTCGAGGACCAGAACTCATGGTGCATGGAGACCTCACACTCAGCAACGTCATGATGGACCCGGCTGGGGCCATCAAGCTCATCGACTTCCAAATGACAATGCTCGGAGACCTTCACATTGACCTCATTATGTTCCTGTACACTTCACTGCACACCACTTCGGAAAGATCCCGTCACATCGTCCCACTTTTGAAACTATACCACGAGCAATTCACGCTCTGGACAAAACGTCTCCGAGGCGCGTCTTCTTACTCATACCACGATTTTGCGGCGGATTTTGTTCACAAATGCGTGCATTTCGGCATTGCCAGACTCGGATTCGCACTCTTTGTCAATTTGGCAAGCAGGGAAGATTTCGAGAAAGTTGGCGAAGGAGGGAACATAATGCGAGTGTTGGAAGAACTGGGCAAAAAGGTGCAACGCGGGGAATTGAACGGGGAAAAGTCGGAGAAACTGACTTCGGTCATGTTGGAATTGCTGAGGATCAAAGTTGAAGATTTGATGTAGTTTCTTTTTTTTTTCTTCTTTTTTTGTGGTTTTTATTTGGAAAATTTTGATGGAATTTCGATGTGCTGTTTCAGCTGGAAAGAAAACGGCTTTCTTATTGGTGTGATTGTTGTCGACAAAAACTGCCGCGTATGTTTGGGTGTATCAATCTTATATGGTTAAAGTAATGGAGAACCTCTCACAAATTAGTCGTAGTTCAATGGAGACAAGTTTTTTTTTTCCGGTGTTTGCATATACTGTACTTTATTGTATTTAATGACTTTGAACGGCTTTACGGAGGTAGCTAGGAAATTTCTTTCATTTTTACAACAGTCCTTTTCGAGGCAATGTAAAAACTTTTGCTCTGCCATGGATTGAAATTCGTTTTTCTTTTAAAAAAGAACGAGTTTTTCGGAAAACGCTTTTTAAGTAGAAGGAATTTGTGTTGCTTTATTTGAAGAAGTCAATAAGGGGTTTTTCTTTTGTCTTCTTCATGTGTCTTGCGAGGAAAGCTTGGGTGTTCGTTTTTTTTTTTCAAAATTTTTCGATGGATATGCATGTTGAAAATTGTTCGAATTCTGATTCGATTGACGTTTTAAAATAAATTCGCGTTTGGAATGTTCGGAAAGGTGCGATTTTATTCCGTCAAATGACCGTCAATTTTTTTCGAGTTTCTTTTAAGTACAGTGAAGTCTTTCCATTGAATGTGGAAGGTTTTGATTGAACTCCTACATTATTGTTTTCGTTTTGCATCGATCGTATTTTAGGAAACTGATCAGGATATTTTGTGCAACATTAATTAAACGTATTTTCGTTTTTTTTTTTACATGGGATAATGTAGTTTTTAAATGACAGCCCGTCATATTGGGATTGGATGATCGGGGTTTTCCCGTTGTGATTTTTATTCGTTTGTAGCTGCGTTGTCAGAACTTCTGAAACGGGGTTTCAAAAAATTAGAAAAAAATGTTCAACAGTCAAACTTTGAGAAGCCGCCACCGCTTTTTGTGAGGTTTTCGGCGATTTCATGGGGTTGATANTACTAACAGCAAAAAAATACAATGGAGTACAAATTGTATCCCCAAAACTTGGAAGAAAAGGGAAAGAAGGGAATAATCACTGGAGTTGAAGTCCTGTCCTGCTAAGTCAAGGTGTTTGCATGTGGGTGTCTCACTGTATGATGCTGCTTGTAGAGTTGAACTGTTGGGAATTGTGCCTTGATCTTATTGTTAGCCCATCAGTGGCAGAGCCAGAATCAATTTTTTGCAGTATTTCTTCAATAATTTTGAGCTTGAAGAAAACATTGCACTGGTGAATGCACAGGGTGGACAAAAAAGTGGACTAATTTTTGACTTAACAACTTTTTACATGTTTTCATTCAAATGGTTCTTAATGTGACCATGCTGTTGCACTTGGGACCATGAAAATACATACCATTTGAAAGAGACTTGAAGAAGCTTTCATTTGCTGTTTTTTCACTGCCACAGCCTAATTTTCTACTGAGCTTCTTTGGGTAAAAAAAAAAATTGAATATTTTTGGTCCAATTGTATTCTGGGGATATTCAATGTTTTTCTGTGCAAAAGATTTTGGCGAGCAAAATAATAAGCTCTCTGAAGGTTGAGAGGCCCAGTGTTTTTCCATTGAAGGGCAAATTCAGGGTTTTTCAACCCTTGCACAGCAAAGGCAGGATACTTCTGCAAAATTATGTGCCCATGAGAACTGCAAATTTGAAAAATCCTACTTTTTTACCACGGCCTAAGTTGGGAAAATGTCCAATATTTTTTTATACTCCTGCAAAATTATGCATGAAGGAACAACCCCTCATTGGGTGGCATTTTTTCTTGCATTCCTTGCATAGGATTAGCATTGCAGATTCCTCAAAACAATAGAATAACTTTCTAGATGAATATTTTCGAATTTTTAGACATTTGACACAGAAACCATATTAAATGCGCATGTAGAAAAAAAGAATGCAGAAAACGCATGATGCCCAACATTAAAAGAAAATTCCTTCTGCAGTTTTCTAATCGTAATTGAAACCTTCCTCTCAAACTATAGGCAGAGTTTTTTATATGCAGTAATATTGAGCGAGCGTTTTGATCATCACATTTCTTCCATATGGCCTAATCTCAAAAGCAAAATGCATTCAGTCTTTTTTATATCATGAATTATAAATTTTTTTGCGATATTTTAAAATTCCAGACCGATTCGAGGACCAGAACTCATGGTGCATGGAGACCTCACACTCAGCAACGTCATGATGGACCCCGCTGGGGCCATCAAGCTCATTGACTTCCAAATGACAATGCTCGGAGACCTTCACATTGACCTCATTATGTTCCTGTACACTTCACTGCACACCACTTCGGAAAGATCCCGTCACATCGTCCCACTTTTGAAACTATACCACGAGCAATTCACGCTCTGGACAAAACGTCTCCGAGGCGCGTCTTCTTACTCATACCACGATTTTGCGGCGGATTTTGTTCACAAATGCGTGCATTTCGGCATTGCCAGACTCGGATTCGCACTCTTTGTCAATTTGGCAAGCAGGGAAGATTTCGAGAAAGTTGGCGAAGGAGGGAACATAATGCGAGTGTTGGAAGAACTGGGCAAAAAGGTGCAACGCGGGGAATTGAACGGGGAAAAGTCGGAGAAACTGACTTCGGTCATGTTGGAATTGCTGAGGATCAAAGTTGAAGATTTGATGTAGTTTTTTTTTTCTTCTTTTTTTGTGGTTTTTATTTGGAAAATTTTGATGGAATTTCGATGTGCTGTTCCAGCTGGAAAGAAGACGGCTTTCTTATTGGTGTGATTGTTGTCGACAAAAACTGCCGCGTATGTTTGGGTGTATCAATCTTATATGGTTAAAGTAATGGAGAACCTCTCAAAAATTAGTCGTAGTTCAATGGAGACAAGTTTTTTTTTTCGGTGTTTGCATATAGACTGTACTTCACTGTATTTAATGACTTTGAACGGCTTTACGGAGGTAGCTATAGGAAATTTCTTTCATTTTTACAACAGTCCTTTTCGAGGCAATGTAAAAACTTTTGCTCTGCCATGGATTGAAATTCGTTTTTCTTTTAAAAAAGAACGAGTTTTTCGGAAAACGCTTTTTTGGTAGAAGGAATTTGTGTTGCTTTATTTGAAGAAGTCAATAAGGGGTTTTTCTTTTGTCTTCTTCATGTGTCTTGCGAGGAAAGCTTGGGTGTTCGTTTTTTTTTTTCAAAATTTTTCGATGGATATGCATGTTGAAAATTGTTCGAATTCTGATTCGATTGACGTTTTAAAATAAATTCGCGTTTGGAATGTTCGGAAAGGTGCGATTTTATTCCGTCAAATGACCGTCAATTTTTTTCGAGTTTCTTTTAAGTACAGTGAAGTCTTTCCATTGAATGTGGAAGGTTTTGATTGAACTCCTACATTATTGTTTTCGTTTTGCATCGATCGTATTTTAGGAAACTGATCAGGATATTTTGTGCAACATTAATTAAACGTATTTTCGTTTTTTTTTTTACATGGGATAATGTAGTTTTTAAATGACAGCCCGTCATATTGGGATTGGATGATCGGGGTTTTCCCGTTGTGATTTTTATTCGTTTGTAGCTGCGTTGTCAGAACTTCTGAAACGGGGTTTCAAAAAATTAGAAAAAAATGTTCAACAGTCAAACTTTGAGAAGCCGCCACCGCTTTTTGTGAGGTTTTCGGCGATTTCATGGGGTTGATAGTCTATCAGAAAATCTAGAATAATATGAAAATCAAATACAGTATAATAGGAAAAAATGTTCAACAGTCAAACTTTGAGAAGCCGCCACCGCTTTTTGTGAGGTTTTCGGCGATTTCATGGGGTTGATAGTCTATCAGAAAATCTAGAATAATATGAAAATCAAATACAGTATAATAGGAGATACTGTAAATGCTTTTTCTTCCAGAAAATAAGAAAAACCCATGGTAAAGGGTAAATTATATCTAACTAATGTTCCCAAGAAGTGAATATATTTTTGTCTGTTTGTGTGTTTTTTTTAAATGAAGACCTCACTCACATACTCGAATATTTTTGGGGGATATTGAAGACCCAATTATTTGACAGGAGCATATTTGAGTAATCAATAATTTTGGCAGATTGTGTTCAAAATAATGGGTTCATTTTATCAATGACGTTCTTTTATCAATAAGAAATTTTGTTTTTCAAAATAAATTGGCAGTTGCCAAGTGTGTTGGCAGGCTCCTTCCTATCCGGTGGCAAAGTTGGGATTTTTTTACAGACAAATCTTAGTTTCCCCAATGGTTGCCAAAATGCATCTGGGTTGAGAAAGCTTATTTCAGGAAAAATCCAGGAAAGGTGAATCATTTTGTTTTCAAAAATCTTCAATGCTAATCCTTTGCTAGGACTGCAGGAAAATATACCACCTAGCAAGGCTTTTTTTAATGATGTTCTGCCAGCAAATAATTTTTTTCTGACATATTCCTTCATTCTTGGTTGAATTTTTTTCAATTTAACTGCTCTTGGGCACAACATTTTGCAAAAATATCTCAACTTTGCTGTGCTGGAGGATTCAATAATGGGTATATTCAATTAAGAACCAAGACATTTTTCCATTGTCTCTGACAATAAAGAAAGAATCTTCAAAACATGGAATGCCAATTTTGCGTGGCATTCCTCGGATTGGCAGCCATTGTCTGCCAATGTTCTCTTCCCCTGCCGAAATTAACATTCGCCCCCACTGCGACTTTCCCGATCGGCACCAAGTCGCCCTTGTGAAAACGAACCGGAAACTTGTGCATCCTGGACCCAAAATCTTCACCTGTGCCGGAAACTTTTTGCTTCACTTCATCTCTGGATGTAACTATTAGTGGTTGTTGTTGAGATTGTATTAATGGCAACGCGTTGCTGATGGTGGTTGTTGTTGTTGTTGGCAATAAAGGCGGGGATCTGACGCAAAAAACGAGCAGCAACGTGACAGACTCCAATTGAGACGGGGCCACACTGAAGATGAGTGTGTCCTGGAACAGGACCTCGGTTGGTACTTCCGGGGTCACGGGTACTGAACTCGTTTTGCGTCGGCGAATAACTCGACCCGATGCTGTCAGCAGAAAACTCCGGATGCAAAACTCTACTCAGCAAAAAAGAAAAAAATATTTAAAAGAAAATACTCCACAAAAAAATTAAAAATATTTAAACAAATACTGAACAAAAAAATTGAAACTATTTAAACAAATACTCAGAAAAAAAAGATATTAAAAAAATAGAAGTTAAAGCTCAAAAGCATTCCGGCAATGTTCCCCTTCATCGTCCTTTGTTCGCATTCATTTTATTTTTTGGGATATACGTGACAAACAAATATACTCATAAAAAAATAAAATCAGATTGGAATTGAAGTATAAAAGCTTTCCGGGAATTTTCCTTCTTTCATCATAGAACATGCTTCCTGTACTCCCTTTCATTTTATTTTTTGGTCTACTCATGACAGCAAAATTCAGCACTCAGAGTCTTATAGAAAAATTCCAGAAATCTTTTTTCAGAAATTGCATAGAAATTAATTTTTGAATGGCGTGTGTTTTTCGTGCGATATTGAACCCTTGAGGCTGCTGGGTAAAAATTAGTTTAAATTGGTTCAACATTATTAACAACAAATTCTACATCAATGCGATGAGCTTTTCTGCTCAATAACTCCAGTATAAACAGTTTTCAACCAAATACGCTATCTATGTTTATTATTGTTGTTGTCTTTGTTACAGAGTTCAAGTTTCAAAAAATTGCGTCCAACGTTGTAGAAAAGTGGACCTCGTGCACCTCGATTTTTCGTATAACATTTCGGACGAAAATCTGCCTTTATAATGCATGAATGCAAATTGTTCTATGTTCAAGTCATCTTCGTTTTAGCATTGTACAGTAATATATGGAACTGATTGAAGAAAAAAACGGTAAATTTTCTCACCAGTCCCATCAACACATTGATCGCTGGAACAGAAGTCCAGTTGCACACAACGCTCTACACAGGCTGAAACTCTTTTGGCACTCGGCATGTAATTCAGCGTCAACTGCATCGATCCCCGACTCTGTTGGAAGAATAAAAAAAACCTCTAAATGTTCCCCAAAAGCATATTTAAAAAAAATTGAAATCTTATTACCAGGGTTGTGGGAACGATGCAACGAGTAAATGTGGCGTTCCGACCGACGTAAAGCTGCAGTTCGTCTTTTGGCAAGCTCAGCAAAGTCGTGCCCATTAGAGTGGGATTGCCAAATTTGTCGTCGTCAAGAACAGACAACTGAAGGTTTGTGTCCTATGAAATTGAAGAAAAAAAATTAGAGTTCTACTGCAGAGGTAATTTGAGTCGGAAATTTATTTTGTTATTAAAATTACGAGTTACAGAATATGTTTATATCAATAAGATGGTGTATGATGAGGATCAAGTCCGAGTTTGCATTCGCTTGAATTGGTGGAATATTGGCATTTGAAGTTGTTGATATTAGTCATGTGTCATAAAAAATTAACGAAATTCTTGTAACATAACATTGATGTTGTAAATTCAGTCAGACGGTTCAAAGAACCTAGCAATTTTTCGTGTCTGTTTCCCAGTAAACTTAATCTCTCAAAGAGAGAGTGCAAAGACCAAGGCATAAAAATGACCAGTTTTGGCAATTGCCAAAACTCTTCCTTGGATATTTCTGTGAGAATTGGGTTTCATCCCATCTCTCACAAGAAAAAGAAACGGACCTTTGGTCTTGAATCTTCAAAACCCTTTAGAAACCAAAACAGTAACTATACACAAGTTCTAAAAATGGATGTTGAAATTAAACCTAAAATCTCAGTGGCAATTTCCACAAGAGGGGACCCTTTCCTAAAGAAAAAGGTCCACGTAAGGACCTCAGAATCTCTCAAACTTCAGTACTGTGCAGACACACAAGTACTTGGCGATTTTGTGACTTGAAACTTCTTGCGAAAATACATCAACTTTGAAATACGGTGTTCTCAAGCACCCGGTTTGTAGCCCAACTGAATCTCTGTACATTTTATTCCCCCTCTTTAAGAAAGAGATCAGCATCTCCTTGACAATTTATTATGTGTTTTGCGATGTCATCAAAGTTGAGAAAATCGGCCAAGTTTCACACCCCTTAAATAAGAGGTCATAGATCACATGAGGCTTCTAGAATTTTAAATTTTAAATCTCATCAGATTATCTACAAATAACGTAAAATTATCCAGCTAAAAACCGCGGGTTCCCAAGATTTCCCTTTTGAAAAACACAAAGAAGAAATAGCCAAAATAACGAAATTACTGTTAATATACTCGTATGTCTTTATTTCAAAATTTTTGTTTATTTCGATTGCTTATTCTCACTTTGATATCTAAACTGAAGTACTCAAATAATGCGTCCGAGAAATACTGTAGAAAAATATGTTTCAAGATTTCTCTATACTTGAAGAATATTTTCGAACATGATATAATAATAAATAAATAAAAAACTCACCACTAGATCAGAAACATTCATATCAATTTCAATGGTTTGATCAAACCTCGGGTTCCGTGTTTTCTTGACCGTCTCCGTCCTGGCTTGAAATAAAATCGGAGACACCAAAAGCACCGACTTCTTTCCCCTTTGTTCCCCGTCGTAGTGAGAAAAATACAGAGTATTCATCGACGTCGTCGGTGTCGGTGTCGCTGTCGCTGACAACGGTGTCGAAGAAGCTGGTCTCCGTTTGCTCGCCAATAATCCAGAGAAAATTGACCCCGAATGCGTTGATAATGTTCTTAATGCAGGGTTTCGATCAACTAAACCGTGGTTCGCGGATCCCAGTTGATGATTTTCTTGATCCTGTTTGCCCCATTTGACGAGTCGAGCCTCAACAAATGGACTGGGTATTCCACCATAAGCCCTGGCAGGCAAATCAACGCCTTCCTTTTTTTTTTTTAAATGACAAAATGTAGGAAGTGTTTGTTTAGAATTTATTCCTTTCCCAGGAAATGAATGACTACAGACGGAATAAAAGCGTCCTATTTAATGTAATTCATGCATTTCTACTCTTCCTGGCGCCTTGCCTATTTTTTAAAATTAATATTACGCCTTGCCACCCAAATTTTGATAATTTTGGACAATTGTTTTTTACTGTGTTTTAATGACAAAATGTAGGAAATGTTTCTTAGCAAGTTTTTCGTCATCAGCACTATCTTCGACTTTTAAGTTATATAATTTTTCCATTCAAAAATCAAAAAATTATTGATTTTTCATAGAAATCGTATACGTAGATTGACAACGTTCATGCATGAAAAAATGTGAATATCTTGAACCGCTTTGAAATTTCAGGTGTGAGCGTTGTCTATAGATAATTAAGACAGGAAAATTTTACATTTATTTTCATGTAAGACAGGAGGAGACGAGTAGAGCTTGATTGATTTCATGAAAGAACAATATTTCACAGCGGTTTAATGGCGTTGATCTCATGATGAATTCGTATATTATTAAAACCTTAAAATGGAAATATTGCAACATCATTGGATTCAGTTTTGAGAGATTCCTAAAATGCTCTCTTTTTGAAAATTTGTCGAAAAAATCTTGCCCAACATGTTGTATTTTTGATCAACAACAATTGGAATTTTCATTTTTTTAAAACCCCTGATACAAAAAAGGGAACGGCAAACAATTATTTTAAATTTGAATTTGAATTGTCACATGGAATGATTTGTTCCCATCACGCTGCAACTTTTAATAGTATGATACTCGGTATAACAAATTGATGACTCACTACAAGACGAATTTTCAGCCGTCCTCTGAAGGACACCATTGGCATGAATTCAACGGTGAATACAAGTTGTCCTACAACTTCCGGTGTTTTCCCGAGAGAACTGCTTCCTGCGTCCATAGAAGACCGATTTCCGGATGTTCCCTGACTGGAATTGCTCTGATTTTGGCAAGAACAAATAAAACTGATTTTTTATAGCCTTTTTCTGTTTTTTTTTTATTGAGGTTTTCATCGATTCCCTCGCACGGGAAAGAAAGAATACGACCAAGAAGATGAAAAGTATTTTGAAAATTCTTTTCAAGTATCCGAGTTTTCCTTTCCATCAACAGGTCGACGAAATCATTTTATACTCGATTTAATTTTAAATATTCGAAGGTAATTTAGCTCAATTTCAATGTGGGAATATGCAGGAAACAAAATATTTCAAGGATTCCACATCTTATAGGACCTTGAAGCTGGCTCGAAACTTTTATCTGAATCCTTTCTGTGATGCTTTGATCGTATGCAAACCATAGCAGGTATTGATGAAACACGTTTAAAAGCAAGGAAACATAAATAAATGAAATTTTACACATGCTTCAGCAATAGTGATCAGGAACCATGTCATAACCTGTATTCCAAGCTCTGACTGGCCAAACCTAATATTTTATGACCTGGTGATTTTTCGTGCACATTTCATCTTCTTATTAATTGGCACTTTTGCTGTATTTTAATGATCGGTTTCTATCTTCCTTTCACTTGAAATTGTGTTGCTCTTCATGGTAAAAAAAAAACAATATTCAGGTGGAAGACAACTTTAAAAGGTTCTATATTCACCCTGAGAGAAAATCCGCGAGTCAAAATGCTGCTTTCAGACATGGTCGAATAGCAGGAATCCCTGTGTTGCTGTCCAATAATTGGCACCTTCCCTGGTGGAACATCCGGTTCTTTTCTCGGTTTGGATTTGAGTTTCCACATCTCCGACCACCTTTGTGAAAACGACAGCGAAGTAGTTTTTTAGTGCATCATGCAAATTCACCCCCAGCACACACACACACACACACAGGCATGAAACATTTTCTTCTTCTGAATAAGTAAGCATGTGATGGAATGAACCTTCTTTCGGAGTCCTTCACAATAATGTGCTGCTTCCGGTCGTCGGGTTCGAGTGACGTCCTTTGATCCCACTTCTTATGCAGCTTTCCGGGTTGCGATTCATCCAATGTACCTTGTGAACCCGCATTTGAAGAATCCAGGCTAGTGGATGAACCCGTCGGAACCCGGGATTCCTCGGAAATGCTCCTCATGTTTTTTCGATAAGTGCCTTCTCTCAGTTCCTCGTATGGGGAACAGCACGTGTCAATCGCGTCCACGTACCTTCCTGGAGGATGGTGGAAGAAAACCCGATTTATTATTCATTTCCTCCACATTTCCATCATGAAAGTTTATACATACTTTTCATTCGATTTGTTTAAATATGTTACTGTATGTATTTATTTTGTGTGTATTCGTCATTAATTTTGTTCTAGAAGAATCATACAGTGAAATATTTCGGTTCAAGATATTAGCGCAAAAATGTTTAGGCAACAATTTAAATCACTAATATTTCACAAATTGAATCATTCTTATTCCGGTGGAATATGGGAAAGGTTCAATGATCGATTGAAAAATAAATTGATCATAGTTTCAGCAACATGACAGAAAAAGTTTGGAAAATTTCCCTATATATTATTTCAAATTTCACGTCTCATCTGATATATTTTGGAATGCTCGAAAAAAGTATGCAACATGCTCCCTTCAGGTTTTTTTTTTAATTGAGTTTTTATTTGACAGGTTCACTATTATAAGAAGCATTGGCATTCAGAAAGAAATCTAAAAGTGTAAAAATGAATTTTTGCAGTAAGCGTGTTTGAAATATATTTCCTCCAAGTTAGGTCAAGGTATTCCTGATGACATCTAAGCATCATGTGATTTTTCGCTAAACTATTCGCGGAAAATGGCTGAAAATTGATGTAGTTTGTTTGACATTAAAAAAAAGATTGTGAAAAGGATTGCCTGATATGACGGAATTACATTTTAACATTTTTATACATTTTTCAGTTTTTATTTTTATGCAGGATGAATTTTTCTGCTGTCATTATTGTCATCCAGCCACACCTAGGATACAGTAAAATCTTGTTACAACAAATATTGTTATAACAAAATTTTCAGTATAACAAACTTTTGTTCAAGTCCCGGCAGAAATCCTATAAGATACATTTTATAAAAATCTCATTACAACAAACTGCCAATTTCAGTGCAACAAACTTTTTTGATGAACATTCTATGATTTCTTAATGAAAAATCCCTAATGGAGGCAGGCGCAGTCTCACATTTCCCATTTCAAATGTGACTGCAGGTGACTGGTTCTTGGAACATAAGATGGAATCAAGAAAAAACATTTTCAAAGTTAACCTGAAAATTCTCTCTTTCAAAAATTATTCTTATGTTAGGCATGAGGGGGTGGGGCAGTTAGATATGGAAAAGAATGAGCCCAGCAATACTCATGTTGACAAGGGTTTGTACGCTTGAGAAATGCTAGTGATGTAAAAATTGTCAGCAATTTTGGAAAATTCACCCTTACGAATCTTTGCAGGAATTGCTTTAAAAAACTTGGAGTCAAGAAATTGTGCTAGTTATATACCTGTTATTCGGAGTATCTGTTTTTTCATTAACAATTACATTTTTTTGAAGATCACAGTTTTTAACCATTGAAAAACATCTGAAAAGGCCAGCCACAAAAGGAAGATGTTGAATATATGCAGGTCTAATTTGAAGAAAATCTTCCAATCAGTCAATAGTTTTCAAAATCTCATTATAACAAGTTATGCATTACAACAAACTTTTTCTTAAGTCCCCACAAGTTTGTTGTAACGAGATTTAACTGTAGATCAAGAAAACACAACCACAAAACTGAACATTATTCGAAAAATTATTAATCATCCGGTTTTCATATCTGATACATTTTTTTTAAATGTTCCATTCGATAATTGTATTAAATAAAAAGTCCGACTCACCATTGATTTCCTTCCAGCGTCTCGAAGAACCTGATCGATGTCTTATCCAAAGCAGCCTAATGATGCAGCCGATTGTAATGGCAGTTAACACGAAGGAACCCAGAGCAATTACTACAATCCATTCCATCTGGATCATTTTCACAAGCCCGATTATTGTTTCTTTCTTGTGATCACTTCAACAACGAACGACGGAAATTTGCCGAATATCCGGATGATTTTCGCCGGGACATTGCGATTTTTCTGAATTTTCACACGTCAATTTGACACCCTGCAAATGATGAATAAAAATGGATGAAGAGTTTTTTTTCGCAATAATTGTTTTTCATTCTTTCAGAGCATACAATTACCTCATCCAAGAAGCCTATTGCATGATTCCACAGATTCGATTTGCTGATTAAAAGAAAGAAAAAACAACAATTCATGAAATTCTCATTTAATTTGAGATTAGTTCCCTTCACCTGATTGAAATTTATCATCCTTTTCACTCGTCGACATGGGCCAAAAATGTAAAAAACTGGCGCGTTATCAAAATATTTGCCAATACAGTGCAAGATAACTACATTTTTCTTCGTCAATTTTTCATCCTGTAAATGAGAAATGACAAGCAAAGGAAGGATATTTTTGTATCATTTAAAATCTGTACATAGTTTCTTACATTGCAACCTGATGATTTCCATGTCACCGTGATCACAAAAACTTCAAGATGACGTGACATGATAAATAAATTAAGCCAATTCAATGCAATTAATTTTTCTTTTCTTCTTTTACTATCGTACAACGAGTGACGAAAATTCTGCGATGTCAAAATGATTTTTATCGAAACATTGCGAAGTTGCTAAATTTTTCAGTCGTCAATGTTTTGCACCACGTTAAATTGAGGACGCAGTTTTTTTAAGAGTATTTTTGACAGTATTTTAAAGTGTTTTTTCTCTCTTATGGAGCATGAACCAGAACAATTGCTTTCTTCCTGTATTTTGTTGGAACAGAGAGCAGGAAAGAATGAGTCTATAGATGATGTTCCACAAATGTTATCGAACTCCGTCGACACTCGTGGCAACCAACCCGCATGCAGCTGCGTTTTTCGCTCATCAGCCACATCGCAGTTGATCCTATATATTTCCCTCGTTTCTCTTTTTCAGGAATCAAAATACTGTACAATCGAACTGGTTGGGGGTCAAAAAGAAAGTTTGTGCTGGTCTCTTTCGAAAAAAAAGGGCTAGTTTTGACGCACACGGAATCGTGTGAAATTCAAATTAATCCTTATATGCTTTATTCTCGAATGAGAAAAGGAGAGACGATTAAGAAATTCCCGCGACGATGTTGACGAACAAACTGATTTCCTTCCCTGGTCTGAGGATCGAAGCAAAATCATCTTAATGATGCACGAGGTTTGATGAATTTTGTATAGCAATCATGCATTGAAAAGTAAGAAATAAGCATTTTTAATCAAATTTCTGAGAGGTACTTGTATTTTTCTTTTGTTTTTTTTTTTAAATCGACGTTGCAGACTGAATAAAATATTGCCTAAAAAATTCTTGAACTACATACTAGAAAGGTAAATCATCTTTTCGGAAAGATTTTTTAGATCGCGGTCTAAATACTTCCATCCGAAAAGAAAAGCTCCAAAAATGCACCCTCAGACTTTAAATTCATTTGCGAATTTATTGAGGGGTTTTCAGAATATCGTAATTCTGCTTATCCAAGTCGAATGAGCAATTTTTAGTCATTCAAAATTTTCGGAGTGTGACTTTATTTTTATTGTCATTGATGTTGGGAACAACTTGGAAGATTTTACGCACAAAATACTATTGGAATTTGATCAACATCGACAAGAAAACTGCGTTACGTGTGTAACTAATTAAAACATATTTAAATGCTTCAATATGAAGATTTTTAAAAAGTGTTTGAATTATTTTTGAACAGTCTTGCACTCGTGAATTTGTTGCTTTGCAGTTTGCAGCTATGAAATTACTTTCAAATTTACTTGCGGTATATTTTCGGTAATATGAGACGACGAATTCTGAAATTAAATTTGATGCCATGATATAATAACAGACCTTTCAGATTGGTGATAAATATTTATAAGCGTCCAACACCATTTACTTCTCAGACAAGCTCGCTATATGGATGAACAGTTCTCGAAATGTGCACTTTTTCCAACAAATTCTCGAAATATGTCTTTTTCTCGCTTCAGGAGAATGATATGGAAATTTCGGAAGAACTTTTGGGAAGTCCCTTGACAACAACAGAGGCTCAAATGCGAAAAGTTGAGCTGTGAAACTGTGGCCACCTACCAGCAGTATACAAACGTAAAAAGCACAGGTGTTCCTGGAAAATAAAAAGCGACATCAAAAAGCTGTTGTTCTATACGCATTTTTCTCCTTCATAATCGTCAGCCGTGAAACTTGTCTACATGGCACATGTATGCTCAAGGTATTCCTTGCATTTATGTCTACTAACAGCAAAAAAATACAATGGAGTACAAATTGTATCCCCAAAACTTGGAAGAAAAGGGAAAGAAGGGAATAATCACTGGAGTTGAAGTCCTGTCCTGCTAAGTCACTTTTTACAAAAGTTGGGAAGTTTCAAAAGAAGAGAGAGTAAAATAAAACTCAGAAATTGACAGTCGCACAACCTGCCAACAGTTTTTCATTTTCTGCATCTTGCAGTTCATAAAACACTTTTTAATCAATTTTTGTGGACCTTTTTCCCAATTGTTTGATCAACAGGACGAGGACCAATTATAAATATATTCCCATGAAAGTCTATAAGGGGAAAATTAATTTTAAATGCAGGCACTTTGAAGTGTGGACAAGAATCAAGCATGAATTACGTTCGCATTTCGGGGCCCCACTGTATTGTTGTCATACCTACTGAATATTTTGATTATATTCACAAGATGCCTTTGATAGAAGACATCAGCCAAACCTCGCAAAAATAAAGTATTCCACATATATCACACCGATTTTTTTGAAGACTGAAAACACCATTGGACAACTCTGCATGGTCAAATACTGATTTATTTTTGTGCTTGAAGCGGAACGAACACAAGTGTTATCTTTTCCTTGACCAGCGCGGTTTTCTTGCCCATTCCGACATTTCTTTTTCATATATATTTTTGTCTGGCCATAGTGAAGGAATGGAGGGGCCTTGGAGCATTCTAAAATAATTACATAACATGTATGTGAGAATATTTCGAGACTTGGTGTCAAACATTAATGCATTTTCCATCAGAACTTCTTGACGGAAATTGAATTATTTTTAGGGTCTCTCTCGAGCAGAATAAACCAGAGCATTGCAATAATGCGGTCTCTCGATCAAGGTTTTGAATAGAAATGATCACATAAACCCGATTATGGGAAAGCATCAAAGGTAAGCTTGTATATGTGCATTATAAAAGCAACCCAAGGATGTTGATTTTTTTAGGGTTGAGGGAATAATTATAAGTAGTATAGGAGCAGTAGTATAAGTAGTATAAACTAACATATAAAGCTAATTGAACGTAAACAAGCCAACAAGCAGTTATATAGTGGCAAGGACAACCTCTAGTTTCGACCAAGGTCTAATTTAAATGGATATTTAGGGTCCTCTTTGAAAAAAATGTGTGCATCGAACATCGCAGTAAATAAGTACAATATACTTGTTTTCCATGGACAATGTGCTTCAAGTGGTGGTTCTTTCTACCAGATTCATGAGACGAATTCAATCTCTATAGTCACAAAAAATTCAGAAAGCTTAGAAATAAATTAGAAGGGTAATATTCCAGTTGTGTTGCAGCTGTTGTTGCAATAAATTTAAATAACTTGTAGTGGCGCATTAACAATAATTACTTTAGTTGCATTTGCAGAATTTAAAAGTCCAACTCGGACAAAAATCGATTTTCAGCAAAAATTGACTGAATAATTCGTGATATTTTTTCGAAAATAAATAGGGAATTTGGATCTTCTCAGTGTCGTATTCATAAACGTTTTCTTTTGTGTTCTAGAATTCATTTCAAATTCTCTTCAATCTAAAAAAAAAAGAAATCTTTGCGGGTGATTTCATATTTGAAGCTGAATACTTTCCATTTTCAATTTGGTATTGCAATTGAGATGGCAGATGATATGAAAATACAGTACTGTTGTGGCAAAAATTAAAAGCAACCTTAAATTCAGCGCGCCAAAATCAGAGAACCTGAATTCTCAGTACAGTTCTTTCATTCCATCTCTGTGAGAATCTTGGAAGACTTTGGTTCTCATGTTTCTTTCTGGGCCTTCAAGGCTGCATTTTTATTGCTAAAATCCTGTTCACTGTCTTTTGTCCTTGAAGGACAGTTTTCCTGTTTTCCTAAATTGGCAAAAACCATACATTCCAATTCAAACAATTGTGTGTGTTGTTTCTCAGTGATCTGCGCAAAATTGTTGCTTTTTGGACTTATGCGTTAAAAATCAAATTACACCAACCTTAAAATAGCGTGATTTTTCACCCCAGTTTTAGCCCAACCAAATTCTTGTGTTTCATTTCAACTTCTAAAACTCAAAACTCAAAAACCTTCATTTGTCAAGAAATACTTCTTGACAACTGTACAGCAAAAGCTAATAATAGGGTAGTTTATTTTTTGAATGTTATATGATCACTGTGTGATAATGAGAAATTCTCAATAAAATTTAGGAATCATTGGCTTTTTTATGTTGTATAGAGTTTTTGAATATTTTTGTCATGATTTTGGATTTTCCTTGAAAAATGTGTACGTAAAAGTGATCCAAGTTACAAAAATATCACGCAACAGAGTCTACCTAAAAAATTCTGAAATTCTTTTTCATGCTGGAATAAATGCGACAAAGATCGCATCCATTCCAGCGTAATTAATTTTTTAAATGTATGTATGTATGTATCTTCGTAAATTCTGTGATGGGTATCGCTTTTGCCGTATATCCTTTGAAGCTGATATTGGGTGTCCAGAAATCACATGATTCTAATCCATGAATGAAATTTCATTCCAACATGCGCTACTAAAGAAGCATATTTCAACTCCCATAACATGAACACCACCCTGTAAACAAGAGTCAGTACCTTATGTCATAAAAACATGTGACGCGATAGGAAGATAACAAGTCCGCCATTTTGATCTTCCTTGAACTTCTGTTAGCTTATCTTTCAGGGACACTTGTGAAATAATGCTGAAGTACACTCATGTGACTGTTATATTACAGCAGAGTTATACCATTTTAAAATCTTTAAAAGCGTATCCAGCACAATCTGAAAAAAGAATTTATTTAAAGAAAGTAAAATTTTACAACGTTATTGAACTGCGTCGACTCTGGAATCAAGAGTTCAGCGAAAAAAAATAGAGGTAGCACAGTACAGTAATTGACAGGCATATTGACGAACTTGTGAGTTCCAAAAGTGACACCCTGCCATTTTAACACACAAATGCTGGCAATTTTCTTTTTCTTCAATTTTTGAGCATGAAGATGCAAACGACCTCAGGCGACATCTAGCAAAACTTCTGTTGATTTGGAATTTCAACGTTACAAGAATTCACTATATACACACGATCTGCTCAAGGCAAACCTAACAAACCGCTTTATTGCCTTCCATTTCTATTAAAACTGAATAAATGTTGATCTTAGGGACGGCGAAGAAACTCAAGAAGCATATATGCAGTGAACGTATAAGCTGTGGGCTTTGTTAACATTATAATGGAAACAAAAGTACTGATTCATGATACAGTAATACATTGAACTTGTATGTTTACAATTACGATTGCGTGCGATGCGCCGCTCAAAAGTTATTTCAAAGTTATTTTAGGCCATTATTTCAAAACAATTCACATAATTACAAAATACTGAAATAGCATTATTGTCATAAGTGATTTTGTCATTGGAAATCAATGTGTAAAGCTTATATATATACGCAACAGTCTGTGCAAGACCCAACAAAAATCATACTGAAATTTTCATGTGAATGGATTCGTTCCAGTTTTTTCTTGCAAAACAGATATTCTCATTTATTCAAGAATTTTAAAAATAAATTTTTATTTCTTGCACACTCTTCATCTTATTGTCAGTTCCCTTTCAGTGCTGACTCATGAAAGCAAACGTTTTCAAAATACGCAACTATACAGTACAGTATTTTAAATATACGGGATTCGATTATCTACGAATTCTACGTAAAGGCCGTATAGGCTATCATATAAAGTACCTGATATGAACACGTTACACTTTATACGTATGTAGCTTCATTTTTTCAAAAATGGCATTTTTTTAGAGAAAATATGTTCAAAAATGGAATTCTCTGAGTGAGAAATAATCATTATAAAACGAAGAGAATCGTTTTTATCCTGCGAACGTTTCATCGAAAGGTTGGAGGTTCTCACAGTCAGAAATGTTTTCTGTGTCAGCTAAACAATGCTTGATTGAAAATGTTTTGATTTTTTAAAACACTGATTCTCAGGGAAAAGTGAAAAGCATAAATTAGAAACACAGTAGTGTCTTCTGATTTTCTGATAGTTGGAATCTGGCAGCATAGAATTCTTTCCAAGGTCATCAGTTCATAGAACCTTTTGTAGCGGCCCCCATAAACCCGCGTCGTTTCAACTCGGCGGCTCCACTCAAAAACCCGCCACCCAATTGGTTGCTAAAATCTTCATTCTTTGTGGGCATTGCCCTACATGCACAGCCTTTGCAAGCATGCAATAAACTATGATGTATAGTGAAGAAAAACAGTGCAAACTGTTCTAATGCAATGAAGATTATTGACAATAAATTTAAATCTTGGCTATTAATTGTACATATGCTTGTGGGCATAAATTGTCTCTCTGAACTCTTGCGGCACCGCAAAGTTTCAGTAAATGGCTTTCATGCTACCAAGCGGTTGAGATATTAAAATATAGGCTGGGGCACATAGGGAAGACAATGATGATGTATTTATATTTATTTTCAGGTTAACATTCTGATTTTTGTTGACAAATTAAAATATGGCACACCAGTGCAACCATTTGCAGGGAATCTCTGGCTCTCTCTGCTGAGAATTACATAAAATCAGAAATTGCAAACAGAAAAAGAAAACTGGAATGCGCAGAATTTTTACCACAAAAAATGTCAACATCAGTGGAAGCTCCAACAAAAAAGGCTCCAACCTGGAGCGAAAAAAAAAAAGGCTGCTTTCTGTCCATGGATGCTGCAAAAAGGGCAAGCCTGTTTCCTTTTCCTTTTTTTTCTTTCTGTGGTGGCTGCAGAGACCTGAAAAAAAAAGAAAACTAACACCCATACACACACACTCTCTCTCTCTCTCTCTCTCTCTCTTGCTTTCTCTCTCAATTACAATGAGTGACTTTAATGTTTTCCTCAAATTAAATGCTTGGTCACATATATGCTGCAGCATGCTTCAATGACAACTACCACTTTGCTGTCAGTGAGACAAATTCATACTTTGGCTCCCAATTGTCCAAGGACATTTTCACGGCTCCACCCACACTTGCATGCAGGCATGAAGGGCAAGTGAAACTGAGGAGACTCATGCACTCTCTCCATTTGAACTACAGTTCTCATTATATTAGTCTGCTGGCTGCTGAACAATTTTCGTACAGCCTAATGAAATAAAAATTAGAACAGCACAGATATTTATTAATATCTGGCGTGAATTACATGTAGAGAAAAATCGTGCAAGAAATCTATCCAGATGATTAAACGTCGTCCGTCTTATCTCAAGGAGTCATTTTCCATTCTTATCGGGAGCTGAGTTGCACTAAATAACAACACATGATTCGCGTATACAGTATATGGAACAGGTGGCATCATGTGATATATGCTATATGGATCAAAGTGTGCATAAAACCCTAAGGTCATCATGCAGTGTTCTAGCTCTGTGTCATCCGGAATCAAGTCATATTAGATAGGTGTTACGTGGCTCCCAAAAATGGTGCTTTTCGTCGCGCTTTTGTTCACGGTTCTGGTTTTGATAGTGACCTATGTGCACAATTCCATAAAGAGGCCATCAACATATCCTCCAGGTCAGAATTTTAAACCTTTTGCAGCAAAAGTCAACAAATGAAAAAAAAATTGTTCAAGAGCACTAAAATACAAAATGAAAAATCTCAAGTGAGGAACATGGTCTGTTTTCTCTGCCTGCAGGGAAAAAATTATGGTGGAAAAATTAAAAATTAAATTATCACGCAAAAATGGAAATGCATTTTTAATCTGCATTCCTCCAATAAGAGTAAGATTGAAGCGTTCTAACCATTCAGCTAGTGTTGGAGGCTTCTTTTCAGTTGCGCAATATAGTGCCAGGATTTTTTGCAGACGATTTAATTTTAGGCATGACCAAAGGTCATCAAAATGGCACCAGGGCAGAATGGCTAAGCCAGTAAATATTCAGATAACCCAAAAATGAAAATTGTTATAGGATGGCAGACCACCACGTTAATCCAATGGCTGAAGGTTGAAAAATAATCCAGGTTAGGGTGAGCTGTTTTTTCTGCTCACGCAAAACTTGGTTCCACAGGTAGAAAAAAATATACAGCCTTGATATTTCCAGACTCAGATTGCATTTGCCTGTGCAAAATTTTTTCAATTTTAAAATTCAATCGGCAAAAATATTCTAGCACCACAGCCAAAGGAAAGGTTCAAGTACAATACAGAACAATATAATTTCCTCTTCTTGGATATCTCCTGACTTCAGCCTTCTCAGCCCAGGCAGCCTTCTGGTAACCTACTTCAGTCAAACACAAATGCACCTATTTGAAAAAAAAATTCCGTCTCTGAAGCAGGATGGAATAGACCTGCTGCTGTCCAGGGCCTGAATAAATAATTTGAACCAACTGATGAGTTATTGAGCATGTCTTGAAAAACATTTATTAAATTATTTTCTCATTATATAGGACCAACAAAATGGCCTGTGGTTGGAAGCATGGCAGCCATGATGACTTACAAATCCTTCGCAGATGCATCTCTTGTGTGGAGCAAAAAGTATGGGAAGGTTTACAGGTATGTAACTTCACGCCATTTCCACGTAGAGTAATTAAGATCTCACATTAGCAGATTAAGATATTTCAAGTGTTATTTTATTGACATCCAAAGTGATATACTGTACATGTGAAGTTGATGTTATGTCATGTGTGATTGACATCAATTGATACTTGTAGAAAAAGAGGAAGAAAAAAACTGCTATAATAATGCGCTATTTCACGAAGATATCAAACTAAAGTAACTAAAGTTGAAGTGACCTGCACCACGTAAAAGAGGATATAGGGAATATACAAACAGAATTTTAAACCTTTTGCAGCAAAAGTCAACAAATGAAAAAAAAATTGTTCAAGAGCACTAAAATACAAAATGAAAAATCTCAAGTGAGGAACATGGTCTGTTTTCTCTGCCTGCAGGGAAAAAAATCATGGCGGAAAAATTAAAAATTAAATTATCACGCAAAAATGGAAATGCATTTTTATTCTGCATTCCTCCAATAAGAGTAAGATTGAAACGTTCTAATCATTCAGCTAGTGTTGGAGGCTTCTTTTCAGTCGCACAATATAGTGCCAGGATTTTTTGCAGACGATTGAATTTTTGTCATGACCAAAGGTCATCAAAATGGCACCAGGGCAGAAGGGCTAAGCCAGTAAATATTCAGATAACCCAAAAATGAAAATTGTTCAAGGATGGCAGACCACCACGTTAATCCTATGGCTGAATGTTGAAAAATAATCCAGGTTAGGGTGAGCTGTTTTTTCTGCTCACGCAAAACTTGTTTCCACAGGTAGAAAAAAATATACAGCATTGATATTTCCAGACTCGGATTGCATTTGCCTGTGCAACATTTTTTCAATTTTAAAATTCAATCGGCAAAAATATTCCAGCACCACAGCCAAAGGAAAGGTTCAAGTACAATACAGAACAATATAATTTCCTCTTCTTGGATATTTCCTGACTTCAGCCTTCTCAGCCCAGGCAGCATTTTGGTAACCTACTTCAGTCAAACACAAATGCACCTATTTGAAAAAAAATTCCGTCTCTGAAGCAGGATGGAATAGACCTGCTGCTGTCCCGGGCCTGAATAAATAATTTGAACCAACTGATGAGTTCTCGAGCATGTCTTGAAAAACATTTATTAAATTATTTTCTCATTATATAGGACCAACAAAATGGCCTGTGGTTGGAAGCATGGCAGCCATGATGACTTACAAATCCTTCGCAGATGCATCTCTCGTGTGGAGCAAAAAGTATGGGAAGGTTTACAGGTATGTAACTTCACGCCATTTCCACGTAGAGTAATTAAGATCTCACATTAGCAGATTAAGATATTTCAACTGTTATTTTATTGACATCCAAAATGATATACTGTACATGTGAAGTTGATGTTATGTCATGTGTGATTGACATCAATTAATACTTGTAGAAAAAGAGGAAGAAAAAAACTGCTATAATAATGCGCTATTTCACGAAGATATCAAACTAAAGTAACTAAAGTTGAAGTGACCTGCACCAGGTAAAAGAGGATATAGGGAATATACAAGAATACTCTAAAATTGTCCGGTCAGATCACCTGACCAGACAATTCCAAGAAAATACTATAAGCTGTTTTTAATTTGAATTTTTAAGAAGTCTGTCCTGAACTCTTAAAGGACAATCTTCTCCTTCATTTTTTCCTGATTTGTGCAAAAATATGCCATTTCCATTTACGTGATCTGATCTTGTGATTCAAATCTGGTGTGTGAATTAATTGTGTTTGTTCTTTTGAATTCTTGCACTTATTGAACTCTGCTGAAAACATTTAATGAACATTGTTGAAAAACTAAGAACACATATTCAAGGTGACCTTTGGAAAATGTGCTCTTGGCCTCAAAAGGCTGATAGCCTGTGTTTTTATTTTATCTTTTATTTTATCCTGGATCACAAGAGTTTTGTATCAGTCGAGAACCTCTATACAGCATGGTGATAGGACCTTATGGGACAAATGCGTTTTACCAAGAAAATCATTTTAGACAATGTTGTTGTACTCAAGGGAGTCCACTTGTATAATGTAGCTGTCCTTTGCTCTTTCTGTCCAGATTTTTAAACAACTTGAAAATTTTCCTAATAAAGCATTAGAGGTGGCGAGCTGGAAGGTGTTGCAGTTTGTGACTATGAGCTAGCAAAAGAGCTAAATTCCAGGGAGGAATTCTCAGACCGTCCTCAATGGGAATTCTGGCACTTTTTGATGAGATACACAAATGCAGGTAAATTGGATTTTTCTTGTTGAACAAATTGGAAAATTACAGCATATTGACTCATTCACTTTTCGAGTTTTTTTTTTATATTTTGATCATCAGGAATCATTTTCTCCAATGGAGAAGATTGGAAAATAAGAAGGAGGTTCACTTTGCGGAACCTCAGGGACTTTGGCTTCGGAAAATCGTCCATGGATGACTTGATTCTCGAAGAATTGAAACAGTTGGCCAAGATTTTGAATCCGTCCAACGACCCCGCTGGAAGGCTAGTGGAATTGGACGGTTCCCTGAATGCAGCAGTCACTAACGTCATCTGGTGGATAGCAGCGAGTATGTATATGCTCTTCAGCCGAAAAAGGCAAACAATGTTCTGTTACTCTAAGAAGCTGAAATAATATTTGACTCTGGTCTTTAATCCTCGTGCGCAAAGTTTAACTTTTTTGCAAAATTTTGTTACATCTTGAGTCAAATTTTTAGAAATGCCATCCAGTGAGGGTACCCAACCCAAAGCCCCCCTGCCAAAAGCCCCCCCTAGGTCAATAGCCCCCTTGCCCCCCTGCCAAAAGCCACCCCCTAGGTCAAAAGCCCCCCCCCCGGAAAGCCCCCCCTGCCTAAAGCCCTCTAGGTAAAAAGCCCCCCCCCCTGCCAAAAGCCCCCCCCCCCCATCACTTTTTTATAATTGGATGCAAGTTTCATAAAAGCGCTTGGTGGCCCTGAGAAGGGCTACTTGGTTTCATAGGTCCTCAAAAGGACTGTTTAATGATCATCTTCAAAATTGCCTCCTGCTGCCTCTTTCTCACTGTCACTGATGCTCTCCATGTCATTTTCTTCTGAATAGCCGTTGTAGTATGCAATTTGACCACCCTTCTGATTATTGATGATCTGAAGTGCACCAGCCATTAGGCCAGCAAGGTGAACTGCAGATTTTGCAGAAGTCAGCAAGTGGTGATGCTTTGATATTATATTCAAAGTATCACTGATGACTACTGCAGGTGAGGAATCCCTTTATATACTCAACTTACAAACATATTGGTACTTGGCCTTGTGCTGGGCCTGCTGGTGAAAGGTGCAGCTTACCATCAAGAGTTACAAGAATACCTGTAATCCCCAATTTAAAAGCCCCCCCACTTTTTTCATTGGATGCAAGTTTCATAATAGTATTTCTTGCCCTGACAAGGGCTATTTGGTTTCATTAGTCCTCAAAAGGACTGTTCAATAATGATCTTCAAAATTGGGGCTTTTGGACTACACCCGCAGTGAGTGCACGGCAAAGTTGGAGAAAATCCTGGCCTTTTTTTGTTTGGTCTGCACAGAAAATTCTTTTTTTTTTCTGCCCTGAAAGTGTCTTATTGGCACCTTTGGAATAAATCCTTCATGATCTTCCTAATATTCTTCCATCTTTAGAGTAGGAAAATTTTTCTACTTTCACTCAGACACTTGCACTGTTCCTTGAAAAGGAATTTGTGATACAAAAGATTGAAGCCACAATGAGGAGTAACACTGAAGAAGATTTAAAGAAAGTTAGCTGAAGGAAATAAGCTGAGGTGGAACACATTTTTGGAATGTTTCTTTGTACAGTGGCTCATATACAGGATCCCATCAAAGTATTCCCACGGGTTTAAATATATTTTTATTGCCTCATAATAAGCCTCATGAAGAGGAACATAAAAAAAATTCCTGGTGAAGATTAATCTGTATCCAACTTGCCCAACATTTTGTAAATAATGGCTGGTTTTCAAAGGAACCTTGTCTCATTTGTTACATGCTGGGGAAAAATTAACTTTTTGCACAAATGATTGGGGAGTGAACGAGTGGAGTATATATAAGACACCTACTTCAAAAAATCTTGAATTCTCACACTAGGATTTTATGGATACTAAAGTCATTCATTGTTGTTTGTGTTCCAGGCAAGAGAGTGGACAACGAAAACCCGGAATTCCAGGATATCCTCGAAACAATCTCTGAATTCATTCTACCATTTGACATGTCCAAATTGTTGACATTTCTTCCGTCTTGGCGGCCATTTGTACCCGGATTTTTAATCAGACAGGAAGATAGGTTGAAGAGGAGAGAGAAAATTTATTCCTATATGCAGGTACATTCGAAAGTGCTGGCTTTTCTTTCAAAATGACAATTTCCCGAATTTTCAATTGATATTATTTAACAGGGCCTCATTGATGAGCACAGAAGGACAGTCGATCCCAGTGAACCCAGGGACCTGATTGACTGCTACATCATCGAAGAAAAAAGGCTGAAAGATGCTGGGAAGGATTCTTCGACGTTTCAGGGTAATGATGCAAAAGAAATCCATTTCCATAAAAGTTGAAATTTACTCATTTATTTTCTACATTTAAAAGACGATAGTGTTGCTTGGTCCCTCGCCGATATTTTCATTGCTGGAGCTGAAACTACTTCGACGACCCTGAGATGGTTCTTTTTGTACATGGTTGTGTACCCGAAAATACAGTCCAGAATTCAAGAAGAAATAGACAACGTCGTGGGTAAGGACAGGTTGCCAAACTCAGAGGACAGAGTCAGGTGAATAAATCATAATAATGTACAGTGAGACCCCCAGATGCGGGTGTAGTCTAAAAGCCCCAATTTTGAAGATCATTATTGAACAGTCCTTTTGAGGACTAATGAAACCAAATAGCCCTTGTCAGGGCAAGAAATACTATTATGAAACTTGCATCCAATGAAAAAAGTGGGGGGGCTTTTGGCAGGGTGGGCTTTTGACCTAGAGGGGCTTTTGGCAGGGGGGCTTTTGGTTGGGTACCCCCAGATGCGGGTGTAATTGGTGAATCAAGAATGTCCCTAAGTTGAATTGTCCCTAATTTGACTCTTGTTTTCCCATAGACTTACATAATATAATTTTAATTGGTCTTTTATGGAAGAAATATTCTTCAGAAGCCATGAAAAAAATTTTTACACTGGAATTTGATTTAGTGAATATACTTTCAACTCAATAAGAAAATTTGGAGCGTTGAATAGTGTACCTCTGTACAGTGCATTGAAATGTTGGCATCTGCAAAAATAACATTCAAGTCACAAAGAGAGAAAGAAGTCCCTCTATGCAAAAGGTCATGTTTTTAACCCTCGGACTGCAGAGGGTTCTTTCCCATAGCAGGACAGAGTTGGATTATTTTCATATCCTCCCGCATTTTCACTTATGGGAAGGTCACAAAAACCCTTCCAGGTGGGCTGAGGCAAAGTCGGAATTAATCCAAAAAAAAGCCAGTAGCCTAACTGAGAAATTTTTTTTTTGCTGGCAAAATTTTTCTGTGTTCAGAGAAAAAAGCATCAGGATTTTTCCCAACTTTGCCCTGGACTACCTGTTATCATTTTTTTCCAAACCTCTCTGAGGTGCCACAAAATTTTGCAAAAATAGTCCAACTTCGCCGCACAATGGTTAAATTACCTGAATGGATGATAAAATGATGGCCAATATGAGAAAAAATTTTTCTTGCATGAATCTGAGGGTTGGAAATTTGTTTTCTTGCAATCAAGCCTAATAAAAGTCAATAATTCTTGTGAAATTTATTGGAAATTTTATGTTGAGTCAGTGTCTGTATGTCAAGCCTTTTTATGCCCTTTTTATGGAAAGATAAATGTCCCTATCTCAAATTGTCTGCCTGTTGAGGTGTCCGCATGTGGAGGTCTCACTGTATAAAAATGTGTCAGTCGCCTTATTTTCAGCGTTTTCTTCTATTTTTTATATCAAGAATGCCTTACACTGAAGCAGTCCTTTGGGAAATTTGGAGACACAAAACAATTGTTCCACTAGGAGTGGACCGAAGAGCTTCGAAGGACGTGGAGTTTGCTGGATACCAAATTCCGAAAGTAAATCTTGAAGACTGCGAAGATTTAATTCAATTGTTCATTGAAATTATCACATATATATAGGGTACAATTATGACGACCATGATTTATGCCATACATCACGATCCAGACAATTTCGAACATCCAGAAGTCTTTAATCCCGACAGGTTCTTGACGGAAAGTGGACAACTGATTAAGAATCCGAAAATCATGCCTTTCCAAGCTGGTGAGTCATAAAATGGAGTCGGGTGAAATTAAAATACATTTTAATCGTTTCTTTGTTCCCTTTTATGAAGATATTTTCTGTGCTTCTCGTCGTTGTTTTTTTATTGAATTCCAATATATTAAAAAATCGAACGATTTGAATTGAGTATAAATGAGATCTCCCGAAAAATTTTTCATGTTTGTTTCGGCTAAAAGTCTTAAAACAGAGCCGATTATGTTGCTCTTAGTAAATCACATCGTCCTGATGCATTTGAATGATAGCAAAACGTTCATGAAGTCTACGAATGGTTTCAAATAAGAACTGCTTTCACAAAGGAAATTTACATTTTTATTCTTATTTTTTATAGGCCGACGTCAATGCTTGGGGGAGAATTTGGCAAGGCTCAACGCATTTCTCGGTGTTGTATACTTGCTGCAAGTCTTCAGATTTGAAAAGGAACCCGGACACGAGTACACACTGGAATCGAAACCCAGAACTGAGGGCATTAATGTCCCTATGCCTTACAAGTGTCGGATTATCCCGAGAAATGTTCATTGAATGGCTTAAACATAAAATATTCATGAATCCGTCTTTTTATACACAATAAATGTGTTTTCGTTCATGATGCGATCGATATATAACTTTCGGTTCGTCGTTCAACAGCAAACAATCAGCGTAATATGACCTCATCTATATATGATGCATATAAGTTACCCAAATATACGTACCTTTCCCCATAGATTGTACCTATATTTACACCGGTGACCAAACTTCATCACAAAAACCAAGACGCTTCAAGTAATGCAGCAGTAACGCAAAATTTTCTGCGTGGACTGAAATAATTTTCGAGAATTTATTTCGGGGTACTGCTCTCATGCAAAATTCAGTAGAAGCTCCAACGTTACGAAGAATTTCAATATAATGAAGTATTCCGACGAAGTCTCATTTCCATCCATATCCAATAGAAACAATGTTAGTCAAATAACTTCATAACGTATTCATCATTAACGAAGCTTTTTTTGCAGCGGTCACAGCAATTTCGTCGTAAGGAGAGTTTCTGTATATCATTTGTGAGAGCGTCATCTGTTGTTCATAACGATTAGCCGAGTGACTTGGTACAATGTATAATTTCTTGGATGTCGCTACACGGAGGCGAACTTAGTTCGGACCTGCTTTTCGCAAATTCGCGTTTCCCTCACAGCGAAAATTGTAAAAAAATAAAACCTAAAATCCCACTACTACAGTACGTGCATGTACTGCTGGGCTATTATACATTAATTTGCAATCGCGGAGAACAATACGCGTGAACACCAAAACTGCATTATAGAAGCATTCATCATTGTAACAGCAACACTGTACTTTTTCTGTGATGTACATGCAGTACTTTAACATAACCTTGAGAATTGCACTGCTGCTGTTTATGCTGTGCAGGGATGAGTGACGAGCTGATGACTCATGTGCTCATGCAGAAAATCCGCATTTTTTTCTGTTATTTTATTTTTATTTTTCATTGGAATTGAAGATGCAGCAGGTCAGCTTTGAAGCACGCCTTGCACGTTTATGCAAATCGTGCTTTCGCTTGACTGAATATTATTTTTTTCAAGATCAAGTGCATTTTTTCGCCTGTAAAATTTTGGTCCTTTCATTTCAAATGTACAACTTTAAGAACGTATACAGTGTGCTCGTATTATGCAACATTTATTGATCGCACTCTACATTTTATTTGCACTATAAAATTGTCTATATAGAATTGTAAGTAAAATTCTGCTCAATTTAAGTCACCAGACTCACAACTAGTTTAAAAAATGCTCACTTCTATTCTTTTTTACGATCTAAATGGCAAACCCCCTTCAGGACTAAATAAATATTGTATCGAATAAAGATGGGGTCGCACCGTATCAAATTCAGGGAAATATCTCGCAAATCAGCGCCGTAATGCACAATTCAGAAATTATTCGTCTGTGCCATTTTTGGATTAATAATGTCAACTTGTCCGCCTACGTTATTCAAAAACCTCACGCAGTCGAAAGTTTGACCGGCAGTGTTGATTCTGATGAATAAGAAATTTCGAACGATGTTCGCGCGATGCTCCTTCCCTCATCGTTTGTTACTTATACTTTTACCGGAAAATATATTTTAAATTTTAATCGATGACTTGAAGAGTAGTGAGAAAATGTCGTAGCTGCTCTTTGTGCGCATGCACTTCAGGTTTCCAATATACAGTATTTTCGCATCGAGAATCTCATTTTACGGAAATTCTATCCCGTGGATATTTTGATTAATTCCAAAAGTAAACTGAAAAAATCCTGTATTGGCAACATGATTGTTGTCTTTTCCATGACCATGGTTCGGTTTAGAATTTCATATTGCTATTCTCTTATGTTAGAAGATGATGGAAATGATCGCTCACATTCAACTATTTTATTACGGATTTCGTCAGGATTTCTGAGTTTCAATCTCGTAAAAATTCGAGAAAATGTTTAACAAGATAAGACATTCATAACATAAATAACGAAGTGATTATTTTCTCCTCAACGTCAGACGCCCGCAACTCGATGATTATATTTCTGACTCCGTATCGGACAGATGTCGCTCGAATTTTGTTACCGTTTTTACCATTTGCGTTAAACTCGTTTAGGTTTTCGAGTGTCGACTTGTATGAAGTTATTTGGTGTCATGTTATCTTAATTCGGTGTTATGACATGTAACTGGTTTATTGCGGCATAATATTTATTCAAGCGACACCTGTATCTCATGCCAGAAAGCAAGGGTAGGCGCTTCAGCAGCAGCAATAATAATAGGCACAGAGCTTTAATATCCTGTTCTTGTATGTTTGAGGAAAACAAATTAGTCGATGGTCGTTGAATTACGAAAAAAATGAGAGCTTATTAACTATGAATAATATCTAGCCTCAATAAAGGCACCATGATATGGTGCAAATAACTTCAGTAAATTTGACAACCACTTTATCTGTATAATTAGTGTAATAAATAATGAAACTCAGAAACCACTTCAAATGAGCATTTTTGACTATAGCATGAAAATGTTCGAAAAAAATGAAACAAGAAGACTGAGATACACTGTTAGCTGCCTTGAAATTAAATCATCCAATCCTTATCGCGGGAATCTGATGAATGCTGGAGTAAACACAAGCAATAACAAAAAAACATGGATGATTCAGAAAAAAAAAATATATATATATATATATATGAAATAATATTACTGACCTCGGTCCCGCGCATGTGTCGTTCATTTTGCTGCATTCAGAATGAAAGCGACACACGAAATAAATAAAAAAGAATAAGATAGGATGCGCATTTCATTGGGCATGTTGTGTCACTGTCGACTTTCCTGTCGTCGTCACGCGCCAGCATTGTCGATGCTTCTATTGCTGTTCGAGGTCGACTGTTTTTGTTAATTTGTGGAA